TTTTGAGCGTTTGTGAGATTATGAGGGATCTAACATGAACAAATCTCTTTTATGGCCAAATATTTTCATGTAATATCGTATTGATGCTTGTCATAATAATGCCCAAAGATGACTCAATCTCACGGTTTGTCACAAGATGATCTTGTTTTGTCAAAATCGGTTGTTGTGCCAGAAAATATCGATCTACAGTCAATATATTTCTGTCACAACTGATTTTGGATGACCTTCACAGAATTCATCCTGGAGCAAACCTTGGCCACGACTGAATTTGTTATACCAGCTTTTTACAGTGCTGTAGGATGGTGCTTTATTGCTGTATAAAGAATTAAATTCATTGAAACATTCTTCTTAATAATCCGCGTCGAAAGTTATGAAAAATAATCGCACAAAAATGTTCACAAGTCATTTCCATTTTTTGCCCGAGATAAGTTTTTCAGTTTACTGTACAAGAGCACAAATCATGCTAAAATGGCAAAAACTTCTGAAAAAGTTATGGTTAAAAATATCAAACTTTTAATTGGAATCACATGTGGTTGCCTAGCAACACTTACCGTTGAAGCCAGAAACATAAATAGCAACCTTCGTATGCTAGATTCACAAAATAAAATTAAAGATTTTTAGTTTTAATATTTTGGAAACCTATACAATTAGTGTCAGGTCTATGTACGTTTGAAAGGTACAGTCAAAAGTCGTTAATCCAGACTCGTCGGGACTTCGGCAATTCCGGATTATCGATTTTTCCGGATTATAGATCATCAGTTTAAATCTCGTAAGATGGCATGCAGAAATTCTAAAATTAAAAATATGAAACCGTAATTTATGAAATAAAGAACAATTATGATCTAAAGGGTATCAAAATTAACAAAAAAAAAAAAAAAAAAAAAAAAAAAAAAAAAGCTTAATATTTATTTGTTTACTTTATTAAACATTTCTTTCAATGTAAGTTGTTTAAGTTGCTTTCGTTTTTGTGATAATACTTTCTCTTTAATTCTATAAACAGACATAATTTCTTGTTCAGTTACAAAGTTTCGCTGTTCAAGTCCCGTAATTGCTGTGCCGAGAATACCGACTAACTTGTCAATCGAAATTTTTTCGTTTTCACTAACCTCTCTGTCACCTTCTTCATGTCTTTATACATTTTTTGCAGCAATTCCACTTTTTGTTTGATGGCCATCAAAACATACTTTCGTTTTGTAGATCCTTTGGGAGCTTCAGCATCGGAAGTTCTATTTGACATAATCGAAAGTTCAAGTTTACTTTTATAAAATTGCTCTTACAGTCTGCAAAAAATAATAAGCCAGATCCAATTCGAAGATTAAGGAACAACGCAATCATCAACATTAACTGAAATAGATAATTTTAGCTTATGCCGTCCGTTATACATAAAACACGCATGCGAAAACATATTCTGCACTGCACACACGCATATGCGCAGTCGTAAAGGTCTTACACGCATGCGTAAACGCCTATGCGCATGTGTCAACGCGGCACATGCGCAGAACGTTTTTAGCTTTGAGGTCCCGATTATAGATCATTTCGGATTATGGATGTCCGAATTAACGACTTTTGACTGTATATGCTTTATGTGAGATTAAAATCGTATGATGACAAATCCAAAATCATTTCTCAATTTAAATTCAATGTTAAAAAAACGGGGTTTGTTAATGGAACTGATGCTGCATAAAACTTACAACAGCACATGACCAGGACTTTATTTCTAAAATTACAAGAGCCAGAGCCCTATGGAAGGCTGTCAGAAAAGAGGGAATAAATAAATAAATAATTAAATTTAAATTAAATAAAACATAAAAAGCAAAAAATTAATAAATTATTAAATTAATGATAAATAGCTAAATAAGAAATGAAGTGTTGGTTGTAAAAATTATAAAAGTTGTAACTGCATCATTTATTCTGGACATAAAATTAAATCGCAAATAATAATAAAAAAAAGACAGACATTTTCTGGCCTTTCATTTTGGTTCGGAAAATATTCCTAAATTCAATTTTTCGTGGCTGTAAACTCGCAAATATATCAATAACTGTTATTATTTACATGTTTCACTCTGAGGCACTACACAGAAAGGAGGGATGCCTTTGTGGAGGTCTTTGTAAGGGAAACTGCCTCGTATTAACACGTCACACATGGGAAAACCATGAAATGCCCATGCAGCCAGCCCATTCGCAAGATTCGAACCTCGGACTGAACTACGAGCGTTCAGAGACTTTACTACATGGTCGCTGCTGGGTATCAATAACTTTGCCAATTGATATTTCTTTGGTATAATGAATGTGCATTAATGCCAAAGAATTTCTGCATTCTTTCTTCATAGTAGCTCTTATTATAATTTCCTAAACTTTTCAAAGCACCTGTGGAACGTTTACATTCGCAAGATGTTATCGGTAGTGTAAGTAGTTATAAAATAGGGTTTCTGCGGCCAGAGGAGCTGAGGGTGTGGCCAATGATATCACACAGAGGTCGGGGCCAAGGGTAACATCATCGATGTCATCATATCAGGGGGCGTAGTAGTATCACGAGAAGAGTTGTTTTTAAGGCTACTGTCTGAGTTGTAGATCTCCTGTTGTTAAGAGTTTTCATTTAAATTTAGTTTTTCAAAATTGGCAACAGGAAAATTGAAGGACAATGCTCATGACAGTACACAGTAATACTTGTATACAGAAAAAAATTAACAGTATTTTCACATTCTTCATCTGAGGACAACGGGGCTACCCTTTAATTTAAATATTGAATTTTTTTTTCTGCTTTGCATTATGATAAAAAGTAAAAAGCGTTTGTTTTTGATAAATATGTTAGAACTATAGTGTATAATAGTGGAGCCCAACCTTTGGCCTATTGCGAGCACATTTCCAAAATATCAACATTTTTATTAAATGTATTTCCGATCTTATGTGATACATCTAAAATATTAATTTCGGCAAATTGGTTTAAGATGGATATTAATATTGGTTGAACTCTATGGAAATCAGAGAAGCGGAGTTCAAAATTATGTTTCAGTGCATTTAGGTTTTTTGAGTATTTTTCTGTTTCAATTGCCTTGTTATTAATATGGCTTGATAAATTTTGAAAATGGCTGAAATTTTTTTCTTTCATCTGATTTATCCACAAATTTAACTTTATCTGAAAAGTAGTTACAGTCCCAGTCAATTGAAGAAGGGTTTTTTCTTTTCCCTGGAGATCTCGTTCAGTTTGTTCAGTTTAGCTGTTATATCTGTGAGAAAATACAGATCAAATAATAAATTATTATGTTCCAATTCTTTACAACTTTCGTTTCTGGATTCCAAAAACTGCTTTATTGGCGAAAGAACTTCTACAAATCGTTGAAATTTTCCCCAAGCTGAGCCATCTAAATCGGAATGAAGCAATAAGATTCCATGTTCGCTATCAAGCTCTTCAGTCAGCAATCAATTATTTTATAACGTCTTGCAAGATATCTCTTGTGACTAAAATGCTTACCATATTTTAACAATTAAGAAATATCATAGAAAATGCCATGGTTCGCAAAACAAATATTTATTACTGAGATACGCAAAGATACACACAGAGTTACATGCAAAGAAATACAAGCAAGCAGAGATAAGCGGTTACAGAGGTCATATATATAACTTTACAACAGATCATGCTTTAACAAATCATAAATAAGACACAATAAATAACCAATCAAAAGTAACATAAAGAATGAGATTAAGTTTCAGAATAATTCGGACCTGACTGAAAGCTAATGAATGTATCGGACGCAACAGAAAGCTATACTTCCTGTTGACCAGTAAGAATGTGATTACAAATATCTCAACACTCCCCCTTAATCGCACATTATACAAAACATAAAAGAATTACACAATTTTTAAACAGCTCAATGATAACAGTTCATAGAATTTTGTTTTGGACAAAGCCTTAGTTAACATATCTGCAATTTGTAAACTTGATTGTACATATTCAATTCTAATATTATTTTCCTTAACAGTCTTACGAGTGAACTTTAATTTTATATCTATATGTTTCAACCTACCTGAAAAGTTTTCATTAACAATACTTTTAATACATGACTGGTTATCTTCAAAAATATAAATATTTTTAACACTGGAAATTTCATTTACTACATTTTTTATCCATAAAACATCTTGAATACCTTTGCATAAAGCAATTATTTCAGCTTCTGTTGATGAAAGTGCAATACACTTTTGCTTGTTACAGCACCACATAATAGGACAGTTTAAAAACGTTATAAAGTAACCAGTAATTGATTTCTTATCTTAAGTATCTCCCCCTCAATCTGCATCTACATACACACATAAGTTTGCCCTTTCCAAATCACCCTTTTTGTATATCAGTTTTAAATTTAAGGTGTTTTTCAAGTACCTAAGATTTCTTTTTAGAGCACACCAGGCAACATCAGTAGGATGCTCCTGCAGTTGGCTTAAGCAATTAACTGCAAATAAAATATCTGGCCTTTTAATATATGCCAAGTAAAGATCCAATTAATTCTTTGTATGGGCCATGAAATGCATTTCCTTTCTGAAAATCAGCTGCTGTAGGTTTTGGTTCAATGGGAGTTTGGGCTGTTTTACAATCAGACATTTTAAATTTATCAAGTAATTCTCAATATATAGTTTCTGATCTAAATATAAACAACCAGACTCAAATTTCAGTCTAATGCCTAAAAATTCTGAGACCCTTTCAGATTTTGACATTTGAAATTCATTTGATAACAATATTATAATATTTGTTTCTTTTACATCCGAACCTGCAATTAGTAAGTCATCTACATAAGGAGCCATAAGTACTTTCTTACAATTAAGATTTCTGATAAAAATACATGGTTCAGAGTCCAATTGCTTAAAATCTAATTTAATAACAAAATTAAGAAATTTCTGATACCATTGATGAGGAGACTGTTTAAGACCATATAAATTCTTTTTAAGTTTACATTTCTTACCACTCATATCATCATATCCTTTTGTCTGGTCCATGTAGATGATTTCATCTAACCGTTCAAGAAAGCTATCTTGACATCTAAAGTAGAAGTTTGCAAACCTTCATTATTGATAATTACCAGGATTAAACGCAAAGAGCACATACTAATTACTGGAGAAAAAGTGTCTGTATAGTCTATGCCTTCCTTTTTCATAAAGCCACGAGCAACAAGCCTGGCTCTGTAAGTTCCATTTCGTTTTTTACGTAGAACCCATTTGTAGGAAATGGCTCTTTTATCAGGGGGGGGGGGTAAACTTTGTAGATCCCAGACATCGTTAACTTCCATAGATTTCATTTCCTCGTCCATAGCTCTTTTCCATAGTTCTTCTTCTACTTGTGGTAGATTTACAATATCTTCAAATGTCACAGTGTCTTGTTGTGCAAACATTACTTGGTAAATCTCAGAATTAGGATACCTAACTGGCTGTTTCTTTTCTCTTGAAGATTTTTTTGTTCCTCCGTCTTATTTGCAGCATTTAATTCCCTGTTATCAGTGTCTGAAATTGATTTGTTTTCATTTTTAATGTCATCATTGTCATTTTCACTCAAATCAGAACTATCGGAAATATATTTTTGATTTTCTTTCTTCTTTTCTTCGTTAAATTTAACATTTCTGGAAACAATGATGCATCTTGTTTCCGGAATCATTAAACGATATCCCATTGTGGAATAATAAATATACCTACAAATATCATTCTGACAGATTTTTCATCTAGTTTCTTTCTTTGCGATGGTGGCACAAGAGTATAAGCATCACAGCCAAATACACGCATGTTTGTTAAATCAGGATTTTCACCATACTTCAGAAAATAAAGAATACAATTGTCAATTGAACTATTTGGAAGTCAATTATTTATATAAGCAGCTGTACGTACTGCTTCACCCCAAAGGAATTTTGGTAAATCTGCCTCAAGTATCATTGCTCTAGCTTTTTCCAGTACCGTTCTATTTGCTTGTTTAGCAACACCATTTAGAAAAGGTGTATAGGGAGGCACATTATCTATTTTTACACCTGCTCTTTTAGCAACATCATTCAATTCTCCACTGACATATTCTTTGGCATTGTCACAGCGCAGTTTTGTAACAGTAACAGTTGGATTCAATTTAAAAAATAGTTTAAGTTCATCAGCAGTGTCACTTTATCTTTTGAGCATTGTTTATTTTCCATAAATCGCAAGTAGTCATCAATTATAGTCATGAAATACTTTTCCCCCATGGAATGTTTGAGGTTCCATTGGACAACATATATCAGTGTGTGTAGTTAAAAGCGGTTTGGATTCTTTTTTGCGAGGACCCTTTCGTATAGGCAAAGCACTTTGTTTGGCACGAACACATACTTCACAAAAGGATTCTTTTGCAGGAAGATTCATTAGTTTTAATTTTTGATCACAGCAGTGTCCTAATCTTCTGTACCATAAATCATCATTCTTTACTGCTAAAAATGTAAATAGATTTGGTGAAAAATCACTAAAATATTGTCCACATTTGTTCAAATATCCAAATCGAAAACCCTTGTTTTTGTTTTCAATGTAAACTATCTCATTTAAAAAAATTATGCTGAAACCTGCTGCTTCAATATTTTTGACAGAAATTAATTGTCCGTTTAATTTTGGAACGTAAAGAACATCTTTTAACATTCTTAGTTTTACCGCAGATATCACCAATTCCTTCCACTTCTAAAACCGCCGACTTAGACACGCACTTAACCGTTCCAGTCTTAGGTTTAATTGAGGTAAACCATTCCTTGTGAGAAGACATATGAGAAGTTGAACCAGAATCAATAATAAATTGATCATGCACAAGATTTCCAGCTATAAAAGATATTGCAGGGGATGCATACTTATTACTATCTGAATTTGCCTGCTTTTTAGAATTATCAAAACATTCACTTTTGAAATGACCAGTTTTCCCACAGTTATGACAGACTCAGTTCTTTTTCTTACAAAATTTAACAGAATGTCCTTTTCTTTTACAATAAGTACAAAACAATTCTTTACGAGCACTAAGTATTTGGTTTAGAATACTTATTTTCACTTTTATAATCAAACATAAGAGATTCACAATCAATAAGTCTGCTTGTAACAAAATCCAAACTCAAATTATCACTTGATTGATTTTCTAGAGATGCCTTAACATTTTCATATTCCTTTGGAATTTTCATATATAAAATGTAAATAATAACATCAAAGTCACTTACTTCAGATCCGGAGACGCATAGACTACTCACCAAGTTCATTATGCTGTCTCATTGACACATCCTTGGACTTTCTTATGGTAGCTAGACGTTTACGCGTTAAAATTTGACTCGCTGCTCCTTTGGCGCTATACGTAGTTTGTAGTTTCTTCCATATTTTACATGTCGTGTCTTCACGTTGAAGAGAAGCAATAACATTATCACTTAGAAGCGCAAGTATTAAGGCATAAGCCTTTTTAGATTTCAAAATATCTGCAACTTTGTCCGCAATTGCTTCTGTTTCCAAAAATGTATCCAATTCCTTTGCCGTAAATACTGCTTGAACTCTTCGACACCAAACAGTAAAGTTATTAACACCATCAAATGGCGAAACACTGAAAGCTTCCCTTTCACTTCCGTTTGAAAAAGCCATCATTCATGAAACACCAAAACAAAATCACGCGAACGATAAATTATTACACTGGAATAGAAGATTCAATTAGGGAAAATATCAGCGAATTCTAACTTTTGAAGAAACCACGCTCTGCTGTTAAACATAGAAAATGCTGTGGTTCGCAAAACAAATATTTATTACTGAGATACGCAGAGTTACATGCAAAGAAATACAAGCAAACAGAGATAAGTGGTTACAGAGGTCATATATTTAACTTTACAACAGATCATGGTTTAACAAATCATAAACAAGACACAATAAATAACCAATGAAAAGTAACATAAAGAATGAGATTAAGTTTCAGAATAATTCGGACCTGACTGAAAGCTAATGAATGTATCGGACGCAACAGAAAGCTATACTTCCTTTTTTAACCAGTAAGAATGCAATTACAAATATCTCAACAATTTTTAAAAAATTTTTTCTTCATAGTACCTAATCGGGCTGGCGAGCACATACAAAACGAAATTAATTCCCTAGAAAATCGATGTTATTGATTCGCAGTTTCGGCTTGATGTTGATGTTGTATATGATCTTGTAACTACATCAAATTGTTATCATTATAATTAGTATTTCATATATTCTGTTTGTTTAAATCATTATGGAAAAGTATACAAAGGTTGTCTGTCTATGGGCAGAGATGCCTTCCCATAGACATGCCTGGGAAAGGATGCCATCACATTTGTGGAGGACTTTCTAAGGGAAACTGGTTTGTATTTACCTTATACATAAGGAAAACCATAAAAGCTCATTCTGCTTGTTTCCTGATATTCTAACCTATGTCGAACTAGCACTTCAGCAATCTTATACATTTTGCCACTAATGGTAATGTACATTTTTCATTCTATTTAATTTCTCTTGTTTTATACTTTCTTTTAATCGGTAATTATCTGATTATTTGTTCCAAACACTGACACACACAAAATAAATAAATAAATAAAAAACCTGAAAACTTTCAGATTTTATATTACGCCCCAAACAGCATATTTTAAACATTTCGTGCGCTACCTTTATTTATCAAATATCATGTTCTTCGCACTCAAACCATAAAATCTAGTTCAGCAACAATATCGCAAAATAATTAAGACAGCATATCTTTAGAATTTCCGATCCACAGTCTCATGCGCTGCATATAAAAAAAAAAAAAAAAAAAAATTGTTTCGTTTACAGTGTTGCCATAGCTCAGTTTGAAATCATTGAGTTTGTCAATAAAAAATTCGTTAAAGAGTTACAAAATATGAAACAGGTAATGAAACAAATTCCAGACACCAAATTTAGTCTTGCAGATGCCCATATTCGAGTGAAGGACTACAGTATTCAAAATTTGATGTCTCTAGGTACTGTTATTTTTTTCACAGCAGTAGAAACATACATTCATTCAGATTCTTCGTGATTTAATTGCTTTAAATATATTGCAGGGCTGTAATATTTGGTGGCAGCAATTTAAAAAGTGAAATGCCGTTTATAGTACATCACCGTAAAATGCCAAACTGAAATTACTAGCCCTTTGGGCTAATAATAAAATGAACTAAATTACTTGAGAGTGAATTAACTATCTGCGTATTTAACAACTATTCTATTAAATCATTTTAAAGAACAAGAATTTAAATTGCTAGATGACTAAGAAAGTAAAATTCATTACTTGAAAGCATTGAAGTTTTTTATTATATTTATTGACTCAAATCAAATCAATCATTATCACAAAAATAATCACTCAGAATTATTTTACTGTGTTTCCTTCCCTCTTTTGTGCAATATTTAGATAATAAGCAGCAAATCTCAAAATCAAATACCCCAACTTCTTTTTTCTTCTTTCTTTCTGTAAATACTGATTTTCTTTTAACCATTTTATTTTTATATGCTTGGTCCGAAACAAAAGGTTTTTTTTTTCCTTCTTTAGTGACGTTAAACTTGATAGCTAGAGGGAAAGTAGGACTGGATATGGAAGACTATTTAAAACTGTAAAAGAACTAAAGCTTTACTACTTCAGAATGTCGCCTAACCTTTGAAGTATTTTCCCGCCGCTTGTTTGCTGAGGAAGGATGTCTTTTCCTGATCTTACTTCTAAATGGAAAACTGTAGACTTTCCTTTCATTCTTTGTTAATCAAATGAATTTTTGGGAAGCTGGAAAGCAATATTTTAAAAACTCAAGTCTTATCTATTGAAAATTATTTATCACTTTTTTTTAAAGTATAGGTAGTGATGAAGCTAGAGGGTGCTCGGGCTCCAAGAGCACCCCCCTGGCTACATGCCTGTACTGTAAGGAAAAAGCAGAGAACATAGTTTTATTATATTCTTTTCATAAATATGCATAATTTTTTATAAATTGTAATGAAATCTTGTTTTTTAGAGGTTTTCTGTTGGAAGTGTAAAATAATTTTTTTAAAGAAAAATTAACAGATTTTAACAGAGAAGTAAAATTTGAGTTTTTTCCCCCCTTAATTTTGTACTTTTTCAAGGGTGTTTTCACACTTCTAGGACTTGAGCTCTAAAAGGCAATGCTGTTGGTCAGAAATTAGTCTCGACTTCAGGGTTGCCACTCTACCTGGAAAACCGGAAAAAGTCAGGGAATTTGAAAATCTGCCAAAAAAAGTCGGAATTTCATATGGTGATCCCCCAAAAAGTGACTTTTGCGCCACCGCTGGAAGCGATCACTTTCTTGGCAAATTATGTATCGTGTGAGCATCATTCGGGCAGCTGGTGTAGAGCTGCAGCTCCAATCAAATTGTCTTTTAGAAAGGCGCAAAGAAAGTTTCCAGT